CATGACGATGATGATGAAGAAGAAGATATTATTCTAGCATCTTTTATTAATAGATATTAATGTGAAACAATATTATTGTTGATTGATTGTTTTGAATAATCTTGGCTTGATATCTTGGAAGAGATTATTATTGGAGCTTTCAACTCTTCTTCCTGAAATAATTGTCCATCTTAATTGCTCCAAAAGAATTGGAAATAATTCACTTGGAGAATTTAACTTTTCGGCAATTCTTTCTTGGATGGATTTAATCCAATCAGCTGCTGTTTGATCTTGTTTGAATTCAATATTTTCACCATGAATGAAATGAGCAATTTCCTTAACTGTCAAAGTGTCAGAAGCAACATTAATATCACCAACAATATCCTTTCTGATAGCAGATTTAGCTACAAACTTTCCAATATCTTCTAAAAAGCTAACATCAACCTTTTCACTCAAATCACCATTGTAATGAACTGTCTTGGTTTCTGCATCAAACTTGGTGAATAATAAGAAGGAAGCCATATGAGCAAAGATTCCTACATTCACTTGAGTCCATTCTAAACCACTTTGTTTGATAGTTTCAGTAATTTTGAACTTGGCATCATTTAACATACTTTCCTCGGGTTTGAAAAGATTTAAATTCAAACCATAGGTTGTTGGAAGGTACTTTTTAACACCTGCCTTCTTGGAAGCTTCAATGAGTTTCAATTGACCTTTAAGCAATAGCTCAGGATTAGCTGCAAGAGCAGTAATGACTACCTCTTTACCAGACAATGCATTTACGAGCTCCTCTTCACTTGTTGAGAGAATATCCCCAACAATTACATTACCTCCCTTTTCTTTCAAAGAGGCAACCTTTTCCTCATTTCTAACATGCAAGGTCAACTTGACTTGTGGGTAATGTTCCAAGATTGCTTTGGCAATTTCGAGACCACAATTTCCACCAGCTCCAATAACAATTACAGAAGTGTATTGATTTTGTTGATTAGAAGACATTATTATAGAATTCTAGGTAAATTACAAGAGATATTCAGTTGTTTTTTTGTTGTTGTTTTTTGGATCATGGTTTCAAAATCTCTTCCTTAAATACTGTGTCAGTATAGTTTGGCAATAGACACAAGTGATGATGATATTTGTGCGTCCTTTTTTAACAGCAAAACAGACACATATGTTGCTCTGTGTCGGAAATGAATCCCGACCAAGTAGTTTTACAAAATAACCAGCATGAGAACTTTCAAAAAGAGTTCAAAGCACTCAACTATTTGAGCTTATTAATGATTTTCAAACCTTAGAATAATAGGAATTTCAACATTACATGAATCAATTTGTTTTACAAAGTCAGATCCAAAACATAGGGATGGAGTGAGACAACCACTTTCAATCTTGAATTGTGTCCAGTGAGAATTTTCAAAGCTCTCAAAAGAGCTAATGGAAAAATTACTAATTCGAATTTTTATCAAGGAGTCTGAATGAGTTCAATTAATGTGGAAGCATTTGGCCTCTTCTCATATTGGTATTCGAGTAATTGCCTCGTAAGTTCAATAAATCGGGTGATTCTTCTTCCTTCTCCCAAAGTATAATTGATCAATAGCTCTGATGTTGAAAGTTTCTTATCCAGATATTGTCTCAATTGTTCGCTATCCTTTGCTCTTCCTAATCTTATATCATCTTCTACGAGTATCTCTTCAGGACAATCTGAAAAACAATCAATACCAAGTAATTCACACAATATTCTAAAAATGATTATTCCAAAGCACCAAATGTCAATCTTTGTACTATTCTTCTTTAAAAGGATCCCCTGACTAATCATTTCAGGAGGAAGATATTTTGGAGTCCCCACAATAGATAAGGATGTTGTGAGGTTATCATTGACAAAATCAAAATCACACAAGCAAATGAAGAGCTTGTTTGAACCACTGACCAAAATATTTGCTATCACGATGAGCTAATTCCTTTGAATGCAAAGAATGAATTCCAATTCCAACTTGTTCAATGATCTGTTCAATAATATCC